TGCTGGTTTTCTCACTTGTAAACCCAGCACAGTAACCATCCCTGCTGAAGGTGGTGAGCAGTGAAGACACATACTGGCTGAAGGGTGGACTAGAAACCTTAACAGTGAGGCCCCTTAGCCTAGAGGAGAAGGTGGGCTGGCCTATGAAAGCCTCCCCCATACTTCCTGAGAGAGAGAGAGTTACCAAAGCACAAACATCCCTATCCCAGGGCCTAACCCAGTTATCAATGAGCTTGTGAAGTGTGCCAGGAGTCTCTCAGCTATATCCTAAGGCAAGAAAACCCAGCACAATTAATGTTACTACAGATCAGGGAGGAGTGGTGGCTGGGTTCATGGAAGCAAATGATTCCCAAACATAGGTGGGGGTACAGAGAAGGGAAAAAGAGAGAAGAGTGTTCCGGACACTGTCAGCAGCACCTTGTCCATCAGCCAAGCAGAAAACAAGCACATGCCCCTTCCTAGCTGTGCCTCTTCCAGTCATGGGCTCTTTGGTTTTGTTTTCCTTTAAGAGGGGCAATAGGGGCGTTGCCAAACTGTCTACCACTTATAAGTGTGCAAATAAATCAACTGTGGGAAAGCTCTCTATGAACACTATTATTACACACAAAAAACATCTCAGAAAGGGCTTCTTCTGGATAAAGGACCACCAAACAGCAGGAACCAGGAGGCCTCATCTCAGCAGCCCCAAGCGCAGCCAGACACAGAGTTCCGCAGAGAGCCTACCAGCAGACACATCTCCACACGGCCACTCGTGCATTATCAGCATTGGTCAGGAAGCATAAGCAAGAGGAAAAATGCTCTGTACTGTCATGGAAAATTATTCATAACTTGGAAATAAGGCAAAAGGAGGAATGCAGGTCCTTTCAAGGTCACTTTGGGACAGGACTGAACAGTGAAGAGTTTTTTTAACTCTCAAAGGGAGTGTACCATTGCTTTGCAACTTACCACTGATCAGGCCCCAGGCTTTGTGAAGTTACATGCAAATTGTAGATGCGTGCGCAAGTATGTATGTGCACATATGTGAAAATGCTAGGGAATTCCTTCCAATAGGGAACCATGAAATTATGGTTTTACTCCCATAAGACTTTAACCAGCTTCATCTCTAACGTAGCAAACATACTCCAGAATGTCCTTTCCAACTAAGTATTTGTCTCTCAAATGTTCTTTTCAACCAGATTTGCCGTTTTTATGGTTCCCTTATTAGCAAGTTAAATCAATCTTTGGCACATGGTAAAAATTAGTTTGATGGAATCACAAGTGAGAGACTCTGCCATGCCATGTGACTTTGGGCCAGCTACTCAACTTCTTTTTTTTTTTTTTTTTTTTT